ATTTCTTGATTATTTCTTATAATATATATATATATTTCTTCAATATTACTCGCTTATTTCTGTTTCAGAGTTAGGGTCTCCAACGACCAACTGTGAACAGGACCAAACAAGCCCTATCGATATTGACATAAAAACAAAGGAAATAGGGATAAATCGGCCACACCCTCCGCAACCCTACTTCTAGTGCCTCCAGGCAGGCCCTCGAATGGAATCCACAAGGGAAATAATCTCCAATGACCAACTGTGGGACAGGACCAGACCAGCCTCAATCAAGATTGACATTAAGAAACAGAAATGGGGATGTATCAGCCACACACTCCACAAGCCTGCTTCTAGTGTCACCAGGCAGGCCCTTGACTGGAATCCACAAGGGAAGTCATCTCCAATGACCAACTGTGGGAGAGGACCAGACAAGCCCCAATCAAGATTGACATCAAGAAACAGAAATGGAGATGTATCAGCCACACACTCCACAAGCCTGCTTCTAATGTCACCAGGCAGGCCCTTAACTGGAATCCACAAAGGAAGCGAAAAGTGGGTTGACCAAAACAGACTTGGCGCAGAAGTGTTGATGCAGAGGTGAAGGCAGTCGTCCCGACATGGGCCGAGCTGAAGAGGATCGCCCGGAACCGTGTCCATTGGAGAGGTGTAGTTTGCGGCCCTATGTTCCCCAAGGAATCAAGAGGCATAAAAAAAACTCTGTCTTATCAGACTTTGAATTATGGCACTTTGTGTCCTCCATATGCTTTGACTGACCTTTCAACCATCTGATGAATATTCACGAACGTTCTCAAATTTAAAAACCTTGATAAACCAATAACAGATGTCCCCTGTAGAAAAATATCCAAACATAAGTCTATCGAGATAGCTGTCAACGCCTCATAAAAACACCTACCTGCGTGTTAAAAAATGCCTTTCTGCGATATTTTAAAGTCAAATTAATGTTTATTTCAACTCAGATTAATTAAACTTTAAATCAGTTAATCTTCAAATAAAGTTTCAGAAAGTTATATTTTATTTTTGAAATATTTTTTAATAAAAGTAATTACGTTGTGCTGAGAGATTTGTACATGTGATTAAAATCAGCCATTTTTAGCGATTAAAAAAACAACTCCTTCCAATCAAGTTAATTTCGTTTTGAAATACAGCGAAGTATTTTGATTATTGGCAATATTAAATATAATCTATTGGCTTGAAATTAAAACTAAAATAAAAGCGTCAAGGAAGATTTTTCATTTTAAAAAGTCATTTTTAAACCTTAGGTATCACTTTTCTTTATATATATATATATATATATATATATATATATATATATATATATATTTTTTTTAAGACATTTTTATATTTATACGTTCTTTTTATAGATACAAATATTCAAGTAAATGCTCTGTTTATAATAAACAGTATTAACAACAATTACCGGCCTGAATGTCCGAGAAATTGTCATTCAAGCTGGTAAATGTTGTTAATACTGTTTATTATAAACAAGCATTTACTTAAATATTTGTATCTATAAAAAGAACGTATAAACATAAAAAATGTCTTAAAAAAAATTGTGCATTTCATAATATATATATATATATATATATATATATATATATATATATATATATATATATATATGTGTGTGTGTGTGTGTGGAGGTGGACAAACGGCTGTCCATATCCATGGAATTCTGCGTTTTGTGTTTACTTACAAAAAGTATGGCCACCTATCTCCCTGGGTGATCAGATTAGCCACACGAGAGGTGCCCCCTGACCTTCTGCACACCGATGATGTTCATAACAATCAAACTGCTGAGGATGACGATCATTTGAAAGACGTCTGTCCAAATCACGGCACGGAAACCACCCTGCAGGCAAAACGAAAAACGATGCAAAATTATTATGTCATATCTTCATTTTCATCTCTCGCTCACATTTCCACTCTCCCCTCCCAACACGCATATATATATATATATATATATACCACTATTTTTCACACAATATATGGCCCAAGAGCCACTCAAGATAGAGGGTAACTAAATGAGGTTGTTGTAAGGGCGTAAAGAGAGGAGGTAAGACGTGAATATTATAAGGATATGTAGGATAGATATTGTTTGACCAGAGACCATCTCTTTGGAAAAAGCTGTATGATTAAAACTTCCGCCTTATCAAAGGAATACGAAGGGAATGATGATGATGATGAATTGACGCCTTCTACGTGTTATGGCTGGTCATAGTCGTAAAGGTTTGATATATATATATATATATATATATATATATATATATGAATTATATATATAATTATATATATATGTGTATATGAATTACATATATAAATGTATATAAATTATATAATTAATTAGTAAAGGTCAAAGTGACTTATCTCCTGAGGTTTGAGTAACACACTCATTAGTAACAGATTGTCCAATAAATCTATAGAATTGTTGCCAAATATCATATTCTTAATTCTACTCTACCAAAACAATACGCTCACACACATACACACACAAACATACCCACAAACACACACACACACACACACTATGACCTTTCGCGCAGAACTCTTCATTGCCAATTCAAGAAAGACATTCGGCTTACTAACACAAAAACAGGGAATGTCTCATATCGAGAATATTCAACATTGAAAAACATAAGGAAAAAATTAATTATTTTTAATAATATTTGGAAATCTCCGCTTTACCTGAAGACGGTGACGAGACCAGAAACACGTGTAGTAAAATTATGGAAAATAAAGCATAACGTTTTTTTCTAAAAAAAACACATTACAACCAAAAACGTTTGCGGCACCTCTCTTCTCTTCTTTTTAATATACATATTTTTCTCTCGTTGGAACCACTATAACCCCTTTCTTATATATATATATATATATATATATATATATATATATATATATATATATAAATGTGTGTATATATATATACTCACACACAAGATGCGATAAGTAAATTGTCGCTATTTCATTTTAATCACGGGCATGCGCGTTTGTTGTCGATTTTGTTGACTGCACAGTATAGTAGGGTCAGTTGGATATCGTCTGGGAGAAAAAAAAAGCACCATTACGCAATTCACTGCGCCAGAAGTTTGGAAACGACATACTGTACTGCTTGGCATTCGCGCCGGAAGCTCAAATACAAACATTTCAGAGTGTTTGGGTGTCAGTCTTATGACAGTGCAGAGGATTCGTAAAGAGTTGGATGAGTCTAATGGTGATTACGAAAGTTCGTCAGTTCCGTAAACTCACTCTACTCATTCTGATAATAAAAGAACTCCCGAATTTGTTGGTGAGGGCCTCCGACTCAACACGGAGGCCTACATCAAGTGCCGTGAGTGTGGTTGCTGGAAAGCCCTATGCCTGGCAACAGGCCTCTGCACCATGACACACAAGCAGGAGAAAGCAGTCATGAATGTCAGACAATTTCTGCGACCACATTACTCCTTACATCTGGCCACCTCACTCCCTAGACTGCAACCGTCTTGATTATTATATAAGTGGCGCAGTTGAACGAGAAACCAACAAAACTCCTTGTGACACCAAAGATGAACTGAAGGCAAGGATTATGGCAGAATTCACCAACTTAAACCGTCCAGAATAGATGAAGAAGATTACGAATTCGTCTGGAGGCCGGAGTTGATTTTATTGAATCCATTCTCTCTTTAGTACTTCAAGGTATTTTTGTGCAATTTGGGTAAATATATCTGGTAAAATGAGATTTTCGTGCAATTTAGGCGACAATTTATCCATCGCAACCTATATGTAAGTGTGTGTGTGTATACATATATATATATATATAATTATTTGAATTGCACATATAGTGCTGGTGTTAATAAAACAGTGCTCGATGTAACATAACAGAGCTATTAAGTTTATATTAATAAATATACATATTATCCCTCACCAGTAGCACAACTCGGAGTTTCATGCAAAACGCAATCTTCAGGTTCTGATTATGGACTGACTTGAATTGAATTAAAATATATATATTTACCGCAATACTAGTGCAGTTAGGTATTATATATATTGGGATTATGGTCTTTTGAGATTATAGTTTTTAAGAATTTTTTTCCAAAATTATACTTCTTAAAACATTATATTTGGCAATTAAAATAACTGGGATTATTATATGAACGTAAAAGTTTTGTATTTATTTATAATTATTATTTTTACTTAATTGTTGTCTAGTGGATCTTCAAGTGTTTAATTAAAGGGAGATTACTTAATCCTATTAAAAATAGTAATACAGTGTAACCCGGATGTAAGAGAGTTGTCGGGACCGGAGAAGAAGTCTCTTATATCCGGTTTTCTCTTATATCCGGGTTTGGTCTATTTTATATACATTAACACAGGCTCTAATTTAGGACCAGAGAAAATTTCTTTTATATCCGGGTTTCTCTTATATCCGGGTTACACTGTATTAAAAATTAAAATTAAACCTTAATTATTAACAATAAATAATAATATATAATAAATCGTAAATACACGAAAAATTAAACTGTGATTAGTATTAGATCTGTTCGCTTTAATAGAGAAAATTAAATAAAATCTACCAACGACCTACTGCAAAAGAATGCGTAAGGATTTGCTAGATTAATAGATCCGATAAAATAATCAACAAGGCAGATAAAACGGGTAAGCATTGCAAAGTCGATGTAAATATATGCTATAAACATAAAAACAGGGAACTCAATAAATTTTATTAAAAGGTACCTGGGAAAACAGTTTCCCTAGGGAAGCAAAAAAACAAAAAATAGCCAATGAACTAAAAATCGATGAGGGAATGTAAAAATTACACAAACGACAAACATTCATTACAGTTAAAAAACATAAGGCTAATTTTCTATACAACTCTTAATACCGATTACTCAACCAAACAAAAAATAATATGGAGAAAATCAGTCTGCAAAAACATCCTTGAAAGGGTATGGAATTACATCAAAAATATTCCAGGAATCAACCGATAGCAGAAAACAAGGGAATTCATAGAATGGTTTAATAACATAAAAAGGAAGAATTCAAAATTTCTGACTCCATCAGCGAGAATCTACTAATGACGGCTATAAAGCTAGCTAAAAATTACTACTGTTATAAAATGAAATAAGACATATCTCGGCTGATTTACAGGCAAATACTTAAGAGCGAGAACCGGATGTAAACAGGACAAAGCCCCGTCACAAAATGACCATTATCTTTCTTCACAAATGTTCCCGACACACGTGTTCCGGTCGAAAAATAAAATAATATTTAAAGTGCTCTATTTTTCGTCCAATAAAAATGCTTCCCTCCTAATTATACTCGCTTAGTTTTTCGAGCCTGTTAAGCCATAAAGAAACGCTGTAAAAGAGGTCACACGGAAGTTCAACAGGCAGTCAACAGGTGGCCACAAAGGAGACCTGTTACGGTCAGGCTGAGCGTTCAGCAGCTGTCAGCAGGAGAGCACCGACCACCGTCAACATGTGTGAACTACTATGAGAGATCAACCTCGATCCGAAAGCCGGCTTATGAACTTTACCACAAGGTAGCTGTCCCAAACCCACACGTTCCTGTTGAAATAAACCACGTAAATCTATTTCTGCTGTTGTCGTATTTCTTTCTTGCAACCATACGCTTGTCTATAACACTACCCTATTAGCGATCACGAAATAAATATCATAAATCAAGTACAAACACTTATACTATTCCACAATGGTTGTCTGTGGACAAAGAGAAATAACGCGGAGTATAATATTGCTATCGGTGCGTATGATTCAGCAGAGGTATGTAATATTGTTGGAATTCCTTTGTTATGACGACTTAAATTTATGTTCGACATTAAGAACACCGGAAATATAGAGATGGCGGTGTAATTCTCCTCTGTAAAACTGGCCCTCGTAATATAGACCGATTGAGAAAAACTTATAAAATTTTTTAAGGATCATGATATAAATATTACCACCACCACCAATGCCAAAGGGATCAGCTTTCTACATGTAACATTAGACCTGAATAATAGTTACATAAGCCATATACAAAAGAACTATATAATCATAGATAAGTTAGTAAAGATTCAAATCACCACCATCACCACAAAATTCTAGATATAGATATAGATTTGCATAAATAAGTCCAAATATTTGATAATCTTACATCAAAATATATAAAGGCTTTGGAACTAAGCAATCATAAAGTAAATTTAGAGTATTTGGGGAAGAAAAAAAAACAAAGATGGTAAGAAAAAACAGAAACACCGTAAAAGCGACATCATATGGTTTAATCCACTCTTTAACCATAATGTCCAAACTAATGTCGGAAATATTTTCCTAAAATTAATTCATAAGCATTTTAGCCATTCACCAACGTTAAAATCAATTATAGCTGCGTTAGTAACATCGATAGATCTATATCCCAGCATAACAACAACATATTAAATAAACATCTTTCCAACAAAGACAACGTAAATTTTTCTAAAAATAAATGCAACTCCCAGGAGAATACGATCTGTCCATTAAACGGTTCATGTATGATCGATAATATTGTATATCGAGCGAGCAAACGTTCCGGTAGCGATGTTAGATTTTATTTTGGTTCTATCGAAAATCCTTGGAAATTTAGCTTCTACCACGAACGAATGACTTTGGATAATATTAAATACAGAAACAGTACTGCTCTCTCTAATTATTTCTGGCAATTGAAAAATACCGGCAACTCCACTTCAATTAACTGGAGTATTATAGCAAGGGGAAAATCGTATAAGGATAAAGGAAATAAATGTAACCTTTGTTTGGCTGAAAAAATGATTATCTTAAAACAGTTAAATACCCAGTGATTATTAAACAAGAGAAATGAACTGATGATTACATGTAGGCATAAAAATAAATATCTACTTAAACAGGTAGATCCAGATTAATTTTAATACAAACCACAGTTTAGTTTTTAATGTATGTTATAGTTTATTATATATTATAATTAATTTTATAGTAATTACTGTTTAATTTTATTTTTAATATTACTATTTTTTAATAAGATTAAAAATCTCCCTTTAATTGATGATCCACGACACTAAGTTTAAATAAAAATAATAATTATAAATAAATACAAACCTTTTCCGTTCATATGCTAATCCCAGTTATTTTAATTGTCAAATATAATATTTTAAGAAATATAATTAATTTTTTTTAAAATATGATTTTAAAAAATCTATAATCCCAATATATATAATATTTCTGCGCCAAGTATTGCGGTAAACATATATTTTTTAAATTCAATTTCCGTAACGGTCAGCACCTGAATATTGCCTTTTGCATGAAACTCAGAGTCGTGCGAACTATGAGGGTGATATGTATATTTATTAATATATTGTGTGCATTTAGGCAGCATTTTTTCATTAATGCATGTTTCATTAAATAATATAGATAAGTTTTGTCTATTTATTTCAAGTAATTACTTTCATATTGTCGAATAAGCTTTTCAGCACTATCACTGAAAAACGAAAGAAAATCGAAAATGTTCATACATGTTTTATTGTTAATCCTGTCTAAGCTTTCGGCTTACATAAGCCACCATCAGAGATTACAAGTACATAATAATAAATTAAATAATAAATTATATAACAAAGATGGTAATTTGGGCACTTCCAGGTGGTGTAATGATTAGCAAGTTTGTCTCGCTAGAACAATTACGACTGAGTAGTGAGTTCGATCCTCACTGGGTGCCCCATACTTTTGGCCTTCTGCCACATCTAAGCTACACTTGGAAAATAACTATAACAAAGATGGTAATTTTTTGTTTTAGATCGGTTATGCGGACATTGCAACAATGATTGTTTTGTTTGTATGGAAGATTGCTATGCAATTGTAATTTATTTAATGTATTTATTGTAATGTACTTGTAATCTCTGATGATGGCTTATGGCTTAGGATTAACAATAAAACATGTATCAACATAATGATTTTCTTTCGTGTTTCAGTGATAATGCTAAAAAGCTTATTCGACAATATGAAAGGAATTTATTTAAATAAATAGACAAAACTTGTCTATATTATTTTAATGAAACATGCATTATTAATATATATATATATATATATATATATATATATATATATATATATATATAAGGTCATCCCATAAGTTCTGTCCAAATTTTAACTTTTTGTTAAAATGAACGAAATTTAAAAGTATTTTATAATGTCTAATGGAGCTGAACATTATTTTTTATGTTTAGATGCATTTAAACTGATCAAATTTTATTTCAGAGAACAATAAAATTAAATTTTGTTTGATTAAAACCCTGCTAACATGGAAGTACCCAAGAATCATTTGAGGCACATAATGCTTTATGAGTTCAAGAAAGGAAACTCAGCAGCCGAAGCGGCTAGAAACATTCACTCAGTTTATGGAGATGAATGTGTGAATGAAAGAACTTGCAGAAGATGGTTTGCAAAATTCAGAGGTGGAGATTTTACCCTTGAAGATGAAGATCGAACCGGACGTCCAGTTGAGTTTGATGAAAAGCTTCTTGAAGCAGCCCTTGAAGAAAATCCTGCTTTATCAGTTGAGGAATTGGCAGTGGTTCTCAGTTCAAACGATACAACTGTTCATCGTCATCTTCAACAACTTGGAAAAGTTCCTAAACTTGGAAAATGGGTGCCTCATGAATTGTCTGAAAAACAACCTCAAATCCCGAGTTGACATCTGCTCTTTTCTCCATTCTCGCCAACTTGTTTCACTTTTTTTGGGTAGACTTGTGACTGGCGACGAAAAATGGATCTTTTATCGAAATGTTAAGCGTCGTAGACAGTGGCTTGGTAAAGGAGAAAGACCCCAGCCACAGCCGAGAAGGGAACTTCATGGGCAAAAGGTTCTTCTTCCAAATGGTGGTATCGCCAAGGAATAATCCACTTTGAATTCTTACCACCTAATGCAACAATTAATGCTCAAATATACTGTCAGCAATTAGAGCGTTTGAGGAAAAAAAGACCTGCCCTAGTGAATCGAAAAGAGGTGATGTTTCATCAGGACAATGCGCGACCCCACACAGCAAGTATCACGTCAGAAAAGATCGAAGAACCTGGTTGGGAGAAAATTCCTCATCCATTTTATTCTCCCAATCTTGCTCCTTCAGACTACCATTTGTTTCCTAGCTTACAGAATCATTTGAAAGAAACAGCTTTTGTAACACAGGAAGAGGTTAAAACTGACATTTGTGAGTTCTTCGAATCAAAGCCAAAAGAATTTTACAGTAATGGAATTACATAGCCTCGTCTGGGGATCCTCTCTGCCCGGAGGCAGAGAGTTTGACCATCACAGCTGGAGACGAATCTCGAACTGCAGACCAACATACAGTATTTACTACTGTAGTTATGTGAATGGGCACATACCCATTACCGTCCGTAGGTATGCTACAACAAATACCAGTTTTGTTTTTCGTTTTTGTCATTACTTTCCCCAGTTACCAACTAAGTTTTAAGAGCAGCTGCCAGTTTTACTTTATCGAACCTATCCGACTTATTGTTAAGACAGGAGTCAATAGTTGTATAATTACCATAAATACACAGTTGGGTACTGATGACGCCAGGAAGGTCGTTGATGAAGTTAAGAAACAACGTAGATGCAAGGGTAGAGCCTTGGGAGATCACGTTACTAACGCGAATTGATCTAGAAGCGTGGCCGTTCAATACGATCTCCATCCCACAACTTGTTAACAGCCATTGGATTAAGCCGAATATTCGTCCACAGACACCATAACTCTTGAGCTTGTGGAGAAGGCCAGTATGTCAAATCCTGTCAACCACCTTCGAGATGAAGAATTCACAACTAAATTGTAACAAATGAACCGTCCCTTTATATTTTTTCAAAGTTCAATGTTATCTATGATTCCCTGATTACTTCTGATATTATATAATTCGCTTTTTTGCTCAGTGTCTTTTTTCTGATAACGGTGAAATGGAAATATCTTTTGGAAGAAAAAGATTAGCAACAGAACGACAAACATGGCGACGACAAAAGCCTACTTCAAGATCAAGTTGAAGAAAGACGATCACTTAATAGACAAAGGTATCTGAGTTCCTCACATGAAAGTCTTGAACAAATAAGACTTCAAAAAATAATAAAAAAACTCATTTAGAATTGATAATAATAACAATGTGTCATCTAAGAAATTCATAAAAATATTTCGTTATTTTATAAAAATCTCATATTTCACGTTCTACTTACAATAGCTGTGTACATTGTGCACAGAGCCCCGGACACAGTAATTGCTACCCAAGGAGGAATTCCAGCCACTAGAATAGAAAATAATAATAATAATAACAATAATAATAATAATAATAATAATAATAATAATAAAGCAAAAGCAAATGCAACCGACCAGATACAGAAACAATGGCAAGATAAACCGCTTCCTGGCCAATACTCTGCCTGTGCCAAAGAAGCTGATGCAGACAAACCCCGTACACATCAGTGGCTATATAGTGCAGGGTTAAAAGGTGAAACGGAAGGTTTTATCCTTGCTGCACAGGACCAATGCTTGTTAACAAGAAATTATCAAGCAGACATACTAAAATATTATGTCAGCCCAAAATGCAGATTCTATGATAAATATCCAGAAACAATTGATCATCTTGTATCAGGTTGCACGGTATTGGCACCCACTGAATATAAAACCCGGCATGACAGAGTGGGCCAATATCTGCACTGGAAAATCTGCAACTTCTACGGGAAGAAAACTGAAAGAAACTGGTATGAACATCACCCAGACCCGGTTACGGAGATAGGACCTGTTACAATTCTATGGGACTACCAAATACACACAGAAAGAACAATCAAAGCTAACCGCACAGACATTGTTATTAGAGACCGCAAACAAAAAAGTACCTCCTTATTGATATTGCAGTCCCTGCAGACTGCAATATATCTTTGAAGATGTTCAAAAATTTTCAAAATTTGAAGATATTCAAAAAGCTATCAAAATACAAGGACCTTGAAATCGAAATCTCAAAAATGTGGCGCATGGGGACATCCCTGTTGTAGTTAAAGCCCTCGGATTGGTTGGAAAAGATTTCAACAAACTCATTGAAGGGATCCTCCTTGAAGCCCATGCCGTAAAAAAATACAAAAAAATGTTCTCACGAGTACATCCCACGACTCACGAAGGGCTTTATCTATGTAAAATATGTGTTTGTTTTTTTTTTAATTGGTCAGTGGAAAATGTCATGATGCCATTTCTAACTTTAGGTCTCTGGATGATCTCAAACTCTTTGCCAAAGACGACAATGAGTTGAAAGGCCGCCTCAATATTGTAAAATACTTCAGTGACGACATAGGTATGGACTTCGGATTAGATAAATGTGCAAAAGTAACTTTCAAGAAAGGTAGAATTACAGAAACACCCTTAATAGATTTAGATTTTGTCACAAAGATTAGGGAACTGGAGCATGGTGAAGCTTATAAGTACCTAGGAATTAGCGAAGGAGATGGCATACAACACCCCCAAATGAAGGAAAAAATAAGAAAAGAGTACTACAGGCGTGTACGTCTGGTACTAAATACTGAGCTAAACTCAAAAAACAGGATATCAGCCATAAACACATTGGCTGTCCCTTGAAATTGCAATACAGCTTTAATGTCCTTAACTGGACCACAGCTGAAATTAAGCGAATGGACGCCAAAACGAGAAAGCTTCTCACTTGCTATCATGCATCATCCCAAAGCTGATGTTGATCGTCTGTATGTGCCCAGATCCAAAGGGAGGCAGAGGATTAGTTCAGCTAGAACTGTCCTACAAAACTACAACAATTGGCCTCCAAAGATATTTGGAAACGACAGAAGACTGGATGATAATATGCGTCAAGGAACATGAAAGTAGTAAGCGTCTCTACTCCGTAATGAAAGAAGCCAACAAATTCAAAATGGAGTTCCAAATGGTCGTAGAGATGCAACTACAGCACAATACACCGGCTGAAACTGCAAAAATACCCTAAAAAAGACAGCAAAGACGAATGCAACCGACCAGTTACAGAAGCGATGGCAAGATAAACCGCTTCATGGCCAATACTCTGCCCGTACCAAACAAGCTGACGTAGACAAAACCCTTACCCATCAGTGGCTACGTAGTGCAGGGTTGAAAGCGGAAACTGAAGGTTTTATCCTTGCTGCGCAGGACCAATGCTTGCTAACTAGGAATTATCAAGCACATATACTAAAATATTGTGTCAGCCCAAAATGCAGATTCTGTGATAAATATCCAGAAACGATTGATCGTCTTGTATCAGGTTGTACGGTGTTGGCACCCATTGAATATAAAACCCGACATGACAGAGTGGGCCAATATCTGCACTGGAAAATCTGCAACTTCTACGGGAAGAAAACTGAAAGAAACTGGTATGAACACCACCCAGACCCGGTTACGGAGATAGGATCTGTTACAATTCTATGGGATTACACAATACACACTGACAGAACAATCAAGGCCAATCGGTTAGATATTGTTATTAAAGACCACAAACAAAAACGGTGCCTCATTATTGATATGGCAGTCTCTGCTGACTGCAATGTATCTTTGAAGATATTCAAAAAGTTGTCAAAGTACAAGGACCTTGAAATAGAAATCTCGAAAATGTGGCATATGGGAACATCAACATCCCTGTTGTAGTTGGAGCCCTAGGACTGGTTGGAAAAGATTGCAGTAGACTAATTGAAGGGATTCCTGGAAGTCCATGCCTCAAGGAGATACAAAAAATTGTTCTGACAAGTACAGCCCACACCTTACGAAGGGCTTTATCTATGTAATTTTTTTTTTTTTGGTCAGTGGAAAGTGTCATGACGCCATTTCTAACCTTAGGTCCCTGGGTGGGACCCGGAAAGAAATGTGTAAACGCCAGAAATCAAAGAAAATAAAAATAATAATAATAATAATATTGTATTTTTTTTTTTTTTTTTTGTCAGTGGGAAGTGTCATGATGCCATTTCTAACCTTAGGTTCCTGGGCGGGACCCGGAAAGAAATGTGTAAACGCCAGAAATCAAAGAAAATAATAATAATAATCGAAGTCAGAAAAATGTGGAAACTTAAAACTACAATTATCCCTGTTGTGATAGGAGCATTGGGTTTGATAAAGAAGGGTAGAGAAAATGATGCTAGTAAAATCTTTGGACACATCATCACCTCATAGCTATAAAACATTATTTTGTCTGTGTCTGCACATATCATCTGCAAAACCCTCTCCATCTAAACAAAACGTCCAAAATATTGCATAGATAATACCCCTTTTTACACATTAACTCTGGAGAGGACTCTCTGAGAAAATAGTACCACACACAAAAATAATAATAGACAAAATGATTGACGTAACGGTTTCAATATTTCACAACACATAGAGAAAAGCGAGTTTTAAACATAATCTGAAGAAGACGACAGACGAAATATTGTTAAACGTTGTTAAACAAAATGTCTTTTTTTTTTTAAATCACACTATTTACTCAGATTTTTTTTTAATTATTTGACCCCAAGCAAGGCAATAAGATGCAAGGGGTTAATGAGTGTCAGAGAATATAAGAGAAAAAGTATTAAAGAGAGAGAACAATAAAAGAACAGGAATTAAGAAGAAGAAAGATAACGATTGACATTACATTTAAACTTTTGAAAATAAAAGTTCACTATGAAGGAAGAAGTCCAGAGAAAGTTATAAATAGCGGGAAGTGCGACAGAAGAAACTGTTAGCATAGGACTTACGGTTCCATCTAGCCATTTCAAATGTAAAATAATAAGACCTTGCCGCCAATCCAGTACTGTTCTGAAATTCATAAAGTCTAGGTAACTTGCATTATTCACATTACTCGGACTGCTATCCTCATTTTAACTGTCATATTCACAACGTTTCGGCCGTTGTACGACCCGGCTTTATTCAGGTGATTGAAATTTCGAACCGAACCCTTTATTTCGTACACCGGGGTAGATTGTTCTAGTTCCACGTGCCATGCCTCTTCCGGATGTCTCAGTTATTTCTCTCTTAACTCAACTTTCCAAGTTTTGGTTAACCATTACTGTGGCCTAGTATTGAACTCACAACTCTTTGGGTCTAGTTACTGGATCTAACCAACGTCTTTATCCACTGGGCCAGGTACCCTTGAGTTAAAGGAAAATATCTGAGACATCCAGAAGTGGCATGACATGTTGAACTAAAACAATCTCCGCCGGTGGACGAAATAAAGGGTTCGATTCGAAATTCCAATCACCTGAAGAAGGCCGGAGCGTACAACGGCCGAAAGGTTGTGAATAGATTAATGACGATGAGGATAACAGTTCGAGTAATGTAAAGTAATCATAATACCTCATCTCAGAGATATAGACAAAGTTGTAACATACTTACGGACGATAATAGGTATGTCCCCATTCGTATAAATACAGTAATAAATACTGTATGTTGGTCTGTAGCTGGAGATTCCTTGTAGAATTCACTTGAATACTTCTACGCGCCGCTGGCGAATCTTATATGTGTTGTTCTTGTCCTAAGTATTATCATCCATTATCAACCTTCGGTTGATTATTCTATTCAGTAACCTTCCCTAGATAGATAGTCTAGGTAACAGAGAAAATTGTGTCAGAATAATTACCAAGAAATTATTTGTAGAAAAGCAATGTTACGGAGGTGGGAAATTAACTGAGACCAGGTCAGGTTCAATAATATTGCAGATTGTACTTTGGATTTTATTAAGAATATCTAAATATATATATATATATATAGAAGCACCATAGCAGATATGGCAACAATATTCAAAGCATGGACGAATGGTAGAATTATAAATATGTAAGATAGATTCTGGCGAAAAAAAAAAAGTTGTCGAGCACGACAGAGTGAAACTAACTTTCCTTGCAGCAGACTTGATTGATTCAATATAATTTTTCTATTTCCGGTCAGCGGCAAACGTTTGTCCGAGAAGGTACGATGAGTCTTTCAGTGTTATGACCTTTTTGTAACCCTATGTTCCAATGTCATAAATCGATGAACTTTTATAATGAAAAAGACATTAATTTGTTTTAGTTCTTGAAAAAGGTCAGTCCCCAAGCCGAAAATTCGATTTTACCATATACGCAATAAGGGTAAAAAAAGAAAAAAATCAAAATATTTCAGAAGATTTATTTTTCAATTTGCTGATGGTGTAATTGGATAGCACTTATACATTTTTTAACGCATTTAATAGTTTAAAGCTATAGAACAACATTAAACAAAA